CTTATAAAATATTGTCATGTAACAGGACGGACAAACAGACACACATTGATCACAATGAACGTCCTAGTTATTTACCCAGGTTCATTTAAGATTAAATTGAAAATTCAAATAAGACGAACATAAGGCATTTCACAATTCAACAGTTTTATTGCAAAATAGATAATCTGTCTCTTTGCCAAGATTACAAATTGATTTCTTAAAGTACCAAGAAATAAAAATATTAGTTACAAAAAAAAATCATAGGGAAAATAGAGAGCAATTATCAAGTCAGGTGGAAAAAGGTATACGCTACCTTTGGTACCTGTAGACAAGGCAATAAATGATAAAAAAATACTGGCTTATATAGCAACTTCTCTTTGCAATCACACAATCCATGAAAATAGCATGACTTGAAAATAAATAACAAAAAGAGGAATGTTACAAAATATTGAATCAATATTTTGCTGTACAAATGTATTGAAGTGTATTAAGTTAAATTTAGTGAACAACCCTCTATTAGATAAAAACCTTACATAAGATATGACTAGCATGAACATCATGAAATAATGCATTAAGTTATGCTTACTGTTACTACATGTATAGATAGAAAAAATAGTGCCAGCTGAATGATTTTGAAAAGATATCAAATGTATTGACAATTAATTAATAAGGCTAAGTAAAAATAGTCATTGTTTATATGCATGTATTAATCTGAAAGTAAAATGTAATGTTAGGCATTCCTGCTACAGTCGTCATCACAAATGTACTAGTAATAACAGAGCAGGACAAACACCAATGATCTTGTTAAATTTGTTAAACTTTTTTGTTTACTGTAAAAATAATGTAACAGTTCCATAAGTTAAAATGACCATGAGGTGGCTAGGCATTGTCCTGAACACGAGCTATCAAGTTGATTAATTATTTTGAAATAAAGTCTTAGACTCAGTGGCTTAAATTTTGTTCTTTACTTGCTGTATAATTTTATGTATCTTAACTTAAAAATATACATATCTATCAGTGTTACATATTCAATGATAACGGCCAATGATCCAAGGAAATTACATTTATGTAGATCTACTTTGTTAAAAGTGGTGCTATGTGCGCAACACATCTTTTGATTCATGTGATATCGGCTGGGATGCTGTACCTGCTGGAAGTGGTGTGTAATTTCTGTACATGAAGATTGTTAAAATGTTGCAACATATCATTGAAGTTATCTCTCAACCAGTGTCAAACTTAAATTTCATAGTAAAAGTTGCAATTAACTGAAAAACTGGACTTATTTAATTTGATGAAGTCCTATCAATACATGTATGTAAGTGGAAAAGGAAGTGGCATGCACCTGTATTAGTCAAAATATATTGAAGTGCCAAGGCTTGATTCTGAGTAGTCCAACTAATTGTACTGCGCGACGAGATATTGTGCTATTTTCGTGTCTGGGCAATATCTCGCCTCTACAAAGCGAGATTCTGCCCCAGAACGAAAATATCTCAGAATCAAGCTTTGGCACGTCAATATATTTTGACTAGATTCTGAGATACTTTCGTTCTGGGGCAGAATCTTGCTTTAGAGGCGAGATATTGCCCAGACACGAAAATAGCACAATATCTCGTCGCGCAGTACAATTAGTTGGACTAGCACCTGTATGGGCGAGATTCTGCCCCAGAACGAAAATATCTCAGAATCAAGCTTTGGCACGTCAATATATTTTGACTACTGTATGGGCTTGTAATGCCAACAAAAAGTTCTACCAATATGTAAGTCACATACGGTTTGCCTACACACACAATAAACTCCAGTCATATGGCACTTTTTCAATTATTAATATATGCAATGATGAAGTTAGTAAAATTCCATTCAGAAAGAATGAACATATATTTTTTTGGTAAATAATTTTTCCTTCAGAGAGACATTAACATATTTTTTTTGCAGTAAAACTATTTGCAATGACATTAAAATCATACCTTGCTTTCAAAAAAGACTAAAAACAAATGCATTGACGTTATTTAGAATTTTTCTTTGAAGTAAAAGGATATAAATGGTCGCACACGAACTGCAACTTTCACGTTTTCAGCCGCCGCCATCTCGATTTCTTCTTCAAATTTTGATTTCAAAAGAAAGACACGTTTAACAACTTATGCAGCTGTCCAAATAAGTTAAATAAGAAGCTTTAATCCACAACACCGAATAATATATTGACTTATATGTTCCAATATTTTGCTCTGAAAGTATTTGACAGTTGCGAAATGAAGAAATCACCCGACCAGGTGCTCGAAGTATGTCACTTCCGTAAACAAACAAATGTATTTATAGCAACGAGAAAATGTTGGACACCACTAAATATTTTTCTTCTCCAATATATCACAGGAACTTGAAATTCAATCAATAGATCACAAAATATGCGTGTATTAGTGATATAGCCCTTATCTCTATAGATATATGTATGAAATGAACCAGGGATATTAATATCAATGACCTGTTATTAAAAAAAATCTCATTTTTCATTTCATATCTTGCATGGTTCTCATTATTTCATAATTACATGTTGAATTAGGGCTCAAATACATAAATATATGGTATAATGCGCATTGTTAATATATATATATACTGTATAAGGGGGCGTCCGTGGCCGAGTGGTTAAGGTTGTTGACTTCAAACCACTTGCACCTCACCGCTGTTGGTTTGAATCCCTGTCCGATTCCCCACAGGGACTTTGGATTTTTTCATGTGAGGAAGCTATCCAGCTAGCTTACGGAACGTCTGTGGTTCTACCTAGGTGCCCGTTCGTGCCTGAAATAATGCACGGAAGGGCACCTGAGGTCTTCCTCCACCAGTAAAGCTGGAACGTACGTCGCTATATGACCTATACTGTGTCGATGTGACGTAAAACCCACAACAAAACAAAAAAACAAAGTATATTAAAGGATTGTTCATAATCATGATGTTTAAAGGTCATAATTATGAAGTCAGACATGACATCAATTAATCCAACTGACAACCCTACAATACTTGTATAATGTTCAATGTTTAAGTTGATTTACTTGCCCGTTTTTCATGAATATATTTTCAGGGGCAAAAAGTAGCATTAAAAATAAAAGAAAAATGGCTGACTAAGTGCTACAGTCCTTCTAACCAGTGGAAGATAAATTCCTTCTCCAATTTTCAAAGAACTGCTTTTGTTGTAATAGCACAACTGAATGATTAAACTCAATTCTACTGTTTATCATTTTCCTATCATACACAACTTATTATAAAGCCTCAGAAATAAATATATCTTTATGAATCCTTCTGTAGAAAGAACAAATATTTCAATGTTAGGGTCATATCCAGATTTTAAAAATAAGTATGAAAAATCTATGTAATCCCAACTGTGCCACCTTTGCAAATGCGTTTTAATATGTTATGGTTTTTGAAAGCCTTAAAAGAACAGATTTATATACAAGCTCACAAAATTGACTTACAAGCTAGATTTGGGCGATACCAAAATGACCTTGACAAACAGGCCACTAGAGGCAATTTTCCTTCAACTAGAGATTTGTTAAGAACCTTTTAACTATTGCTGTAGCTAATCTGCAATGGAATCAGGCAAATGATATGGTGATTGTGGGCTCCAGAACATGGTGATTTTTAGGAAACTTTGTAGATTGAAATAATAAATTGCTGACACAAAAAAGGGACTTAGGCCTCTCATGGTTGTTTTCACAGTGTTTGAACTTTTTGACTTACATTGCAATGAAGATGAACCTCCAAACTATTGTTAATAATGGCAAATCTGCAAAGAAATTTGTGGAAAAATTAAGGACAGCCATTGAAAATAGTCCTTTTTTCAAAAATTTGTAGATTTTATATATCCTTCGCAGTACCGCTACTTTCTCCAAATATCTTCATAGAAAATTCCCTCTCTCAGTTTACTTTGCCATAACTCTGACAAGAACCGGTTGAATGGGATGATGCTCCCACAGAAAAGTATACCTCTTGTAGTTTCAAAGCTATGTCCCTGACAAAGTTCAATAATTCAAAACAGAGTTACTATTATTTGCACTGCTCATCTGTTTATTTTCATAGAAATTGCAGTGGTATAGGAGGAGATAATAATTAAATCAAATTAAAGGGCTATAACTCTCGACAAAAAGCATTGAACCGGAAATGCAAACAGTAACTAGAGTTAGTACTGATAGTTCCTGTTAATTAAGTTTAGATCAAATTGTGCCAGTATTAAATATTGGAGGAGAAGTCAGGAGAAGTTCTATGACCGTTGTAATAGACAGAGACGGAGAAGTTATCCCTACATGTCACTGCTACTCTGTAGAGGTGACACAAAAAGGGGGTACAACTTAGCAAAAGTTAATTTTAGTATTATTTGATATGTGTCATAATTTGATAGTAAACATGTATACAAAGTTTAAAGTGAATAACTGAAAGTTTCTGAGACAAGGGGGCCACGAAGGCCCTACATCACTCATCTGAGTATATGAATCAGATTTAGTTAGCAGGATGTTCTTGCTCAACAAATCTTTCAGTAATTATTGTGAAGGACTATCTTATGTTCATCACTGTACAGTAGAGCTGTCATTGTTTCAGTGCAAAGCACATTGAAAATATACCGATATCAGATGACAAATATTGACGATACACTGATATATTGATAAATACTCCTTATTTCTTATATACATGTATAATACTTTTTCATACTTGTTTAAATGATTTTAGTCAAATCAATGTTCTGTTCAGCAAATGACATTTGCATGATTTTTTTCTGACTTTTTTGTCATCACTGCTATGAAAAGTGTACATTTTAACAACAGATTAGTGTTAGACATATGTTTTTAGTGACTTTTAATAATGATATTTATCAAAATAATCATTTTTTTCAAATGTGTATTGATTATTGATTGACAGAAAAATATCAGCAATACATTGATATCATCTCTATCGATGACAACTCTACTGTACAGTGTCATCAAAATCTAAGTTGTGGTTAAGAAGAAAATGTAGTCTAAAGGTTTATCTATTTTCAGCTCTGGTGGCCTTTATGTTTTATGTTAGGAAACCTGAAAATTTTTAGCAGTTTTAGTAAAGGACAACCTAAGGATAATTTCTGTAGAGTTTCATCAAAATCTAACATGCATCTGATAAAGAGATGTTATTTATTTCTATTGAAATTTTATTTCTATTTTTAGTTCTAGAAGCCATCTGTTTTTTCAACAGACCAAAACAATTTATAAGAATTTTTGTAAAACCCCCAAAAACACTTGTTGATCACAAAAATCTACAAAGTTGTTGAGGAAGAGATGTTCTTTAAGGTTTTCTATTTTAAGCTGCTTACCCTTAAAGATAATTTCTGTATATTTCTATTGTCAAAGCAGTATAGGAATTGCAAAACGTTATTTTATCTCTTTTAAAAACATAAACACAAATCTGGAGGAATGCTGTCTTGAGAAATGTTTTAATATTCCAAATATATGTGACACACTTTTTATCACAATATTTCTAACTCTCAAATTGACTTAAATTTTAACAATCATCAATAACAATCATAAATAAATAAAAATTTGAATTCTTATTCGAAAAACAATGCAAAATGGCAAAACAAAATTAAAATTGCAAATGCATTACTTCATTTAACATTTAACAGAAACAAAATTGTAACAACATGATTTAGTATACACTGTAGTTAAATCAATACAAGTGACTAAATTCAACATAATTGAACTTAAAACCAAATAATAGTGGTGCAACAATATACCCATATATTGCACAAACAAAACATAAACACAGATATAGTGATAAGATCATATGACAGTAATTTCGTCTGCAGAAACATACTGATTTGCACTATAATTTACAAAATCTCTAAACAATGTACATGTTCAAACTTACAGCTTTCATTTTTCAGCTTATTATTTTTTTTTATCTGCCAATTTCAATTTTACTGCTTAATTCCCTTTTATTTTTCAAAATGAAATTAAATAATTCATTCTATTTTTACCATGGCCATTTCCATCCATTTAAACCCACCCTTTTTCATGCTATAAAATTAGAATGGAAACACTACATGTACTTGTGACTTAACAACTGAATTTTATCAAGAATAAAAGCAGTTTTACATTATCTGCTCTTTAGATTTTTATTTGAGACCAACATTTAAAACAAATGCATTTGTAAGATAGAATGAAAGAAAATTCTTTATCACCTGTTCTAGATTAAATGACATTTGTTGTCAATTCATTAAAGTTTTTACACATTTATTTACGGGGCTTGAAAAAGACAAAATTAATGTTAAAATATAATCGAGCTGTGTCACGACAAAAACCAACATAGTGTGTTTGCAACCAGCATGGATCCAGACCAGTCTGTGCATCCGCGCAGTCTGATCAGGATCCATGCTGTTGGCTTACAAACTCTATTACAAACAGAAAAACTGATAGTGGACAGCATGGATCCTGATCAGACTGCACAGATGCACAGGTTGCAAACTCACTATGTACGTTTTGTTGTGATGCGGCTCATATTTTTTGATCAAACAGAGAGAAATATAACATGAAATATTGCAGTACAAGAGTTCTGTACCATGGTATGCATTGCCTGATGCTGCATCGAAATATACCGGCATATTGCCGTATTATTGCTCCTCTTTTTTAGTGTATAGCTGTTCTCCAACATACATGTAATAAGGATATAGTTATACAAGTTTATATGAACTTCCATATAAAACTTAAAAAAAAGAAAAAACTTAAAAATAAACCAAGAGTAAGAAAGATACTAATAATAACTTGAAACCAGAAACTGAATACTGTCTATAGAATTATGGCACATTATAATCTTTTCTAATCAACATCGTTTTTTTTCTTTAAACACTTTACAAAACTTTTAAAGTACACATTTATTTATGATTACTTTTTTATCAATGACTGTAACCCACTGTTTAAGGTATGCTGAGTTTTGAAATGTCTGTCTCGATTACTTGCACTTGAAAAAGCTTGATTACAAGTATCGCAAGTGTATACTTCCCCAGAATGCAGCTTCATATGAGCCGTCATGTGTATTTTGAGCTTTGATTTATGGTCACATATCCCACACTTAAAGGGAAGTTCTTCCTGATGTATGGCACTGTGACGTTTCATATCAATAATTTGAACAAATGTTTTCTCACAGTATAAGCAAGCATAAGGACGTACCCCTGTATGATATCTCATGTGCCGATTAAAGTAACTATCATCTTTGAATGCCTTTTTGCAAATTTTACAGACATACGGACGTTCGTTTGTATGCGTCCTCTCATGTAATATTAACTGTCCACGCATCGAAAAGCCTTTATTACATATAGCACACACGTGATCTTTGATCTTATCATGTACACATTTAATATGCTTCTGAAGATGTGCCTTTTGTTTGAAACACTTGAAGCAATAATTGCAGACAAACTTTCGCTCATCGTGTACCCTCATATGGTTTCTAAGATACGATCTACACATAAACTCTTTCTGGCACACATTACATATATAACTGTTTTCATCTGTGTGGGACTGTTCATGCTTGAACAAAGATCCTTTGCCCCTAAATGATATGCCATAATCCTCACGGACTAAAGGGTGTTTATCATTGTGAATATTCATGTGCTCATCCAGGCCCTTATTGCTTGATAAAGTCTCACCACAAACTCTGCAATTAAAATGAATATATGTACATATAAATGTTTTTAAGTCTTTGGTCATATTTTTGTGGCTTTTTGCACCAACACTGTCAAGGTCATATGTTTAAAATGTTGGAGAAAGGCCTTCCCCAAATTATTTAAATTAGGTAAAATTTTATCAAATTGTTTAAGCGTCTCCCTAATGATTAAAGCAGAGATCAATGTGGGTTTGAGACCTACTATAGTTAGGACGATACATGTATTAATTCATATGACATCAGTAGTGATTGAAATAAGTCTCAAGCTTTCATGGGATAAAATGAATGCAGATATTTTGAATATATGACATTGCTTTCCCCTCACATACCAAGTGCATCTCTCATAACTTACACATGCTACTTCAATACAATATTTTCTAATATAACAGTATATAAAAGACATACATACATGCGATCTAACTTTGATGATGTTTGTGAACTCTTCTGGTTGAAATCTAGCTTTGTAACATCCAACTTCTTCTCAGATGTTTTGAGCTTCTTAATACTACTTCCTGTACTAAAGTCAAGGTCATCCCCATGCTTGTGGTACATGTGATTATCATAGTAAAACTCAGATGAAAATGTAATATTACACTCACTGCAGTATGCCCTTGCTGGAAAATATTTTGAACCCAATTATATCAATCAACAATGTCAACAGCAGGTGTGCAGTCATGCCAATATAAAAGGAGTCATATTATTAAAGTTGTTCAGAAGCCATACTCCACTAAGAAATATTTTTTATTTCAGATGGAAAGTAATCTAGATCTGTTCTGATAGAGAAAGCTAACCATCTTAAGTTTCAGCAAAATAAGGGTTACAACAACTACAAGAAAACATCTTTATTATATACATGTACCTATCAATTATTGTTTTGGATTAGCATTCTCATTAATTGCTATCAGACTGTTCTTTTATAATGTACATTTTGTATTAATTTTTCTAAAATTTAAATTGCAGGATAATGTTCATCATCTCGACATATCTCAATGACTTTATTCAATTTTGAGCACTGGTTCACTTATCAATTTATGTCATAATCTAAGATCCTGAAAAAGCAGAATGTAAGCATATTTGCATTATTAAAAGTGTAATTAAATCAATTTTGTACAACTGAACTTACTGCATATACAAATGAAAACTGATCACAAAGCAAACAACTCTTTATACTTACAAGAAACAGTACTGCTTGAAACGGTCTTTTTCTTGACATTCCTGCCGCGGACTGTCTTCACAAGAACTGAATTTTTGTCCTTTTTTCTTTCCATCTCTTGTTCACTTTTATCTTTTGATTTTCTGTCAGCAGGACTGATCTTTTGGCTTATTTCAGTCATACTTTTGCCTATTTTCTTTCTTTGAGGAGATCTCTTTAGGCTTAATTTTTTTGGAAGGGTTTCTTCTTCATCTGTAATTTTCTTTGCATTACTATTTGGACTAGAATGACTTTTTCTTTTACTTCTCTTTAAAGTACTCATAGAACTTAAAGAAGTCACTGAACTCGTGGTATCTATTAATTAAGAAGAAAAATAAAACATTTTGAAAACTGACTTTTTCATTTTTTAACAACAATTGTTAAAACAATTTCTAAGTAACTCATATACTTTCTATGGCCATAACCTTTTACATACACAGTTTAAAAATTTAAAGTAAGATTTATACTCAAATGATATTACATGCACATGATGTTTTGAAGGTACATAATGTGCAATGCTTTCAAATTTTATGAACTTTTCTGTATATTTGCATTTTCTGGTAAGATCACATACAGGTATATTTTGGTCCCAGTGTTATTTGTTCATTTTTTGTTCATTTTTTTTGCGGTAAGGTGGAGAGTACTATCAGGTGAGGGGGAGGAATACGGAGGAGATGTGTTGTTAACCAGGCTGTGTTGTTAACAGAACCTTGGGGAGAAAATATAAACCAGCAAGACATATCCATATTGCATTCCTTTATTTAATAAGTCCAAAACATCAAGGGTTTTTCTTTTTTGTGAAATATAAAGGAGGCAGTTGTCCTACATGTATAATTGGGGAAACTAATTGTGAGGAATAGGACCAAATTTCAGCCTCAAACTGGCAAATCAATGAACCCATAACAAAATTAATGACAAATTAATAATCAATGAGACATATCCAAGGTGCCCATGAGTCGATTATTTCAGTAATTATATGGGTTCCATACTTCCAGTCTAATACAGTACATTCAATACCTGTATTGGACTGGACCCCACAGTAGTGGACCTAGTGGTGAGTGACAAGTGATTTGTTGCCAAAACTTTGACCTTTTTGCCATGGAAACAATATACATGTATATCCCTTCTAATAAGTTAATCTTCTGAATTTCTTAATCAAATGGATTTGTCCAGCTTCTATTTTTGTAACTTACATGAGTCCATAAAATATCAGCTTAAAAGATATCAAGTAACCCAGCCATAAATATATAGTCTTATTAGATTAGATACTGGTGGAAAAGGCTGATCACTTTTGCTTCTAGCATGGTAAGGGCTAACTTGTAATTGTACCATTGACTATCAATTGTTACTGGTCAGTTGACTCTGATTTAAATGAATTCTTTATTAAATTTACATGAATTCTTTATTAAATTTACATGAATTCTTTATTAAATTTACATGAGATTTTTTTTTAATTTATATGAATTATTTATTATTAAGTGATGTGCATGTTTAATATTTGTTTTTTGGTATTCCTTAAAAAAAAGAAGAAAAAAATCACAACAAAACTAACATGTATTGTAAATAATACCTTTTACATTAGTATCAGCACTTTGATGCATTTTTACTGTAACAGCTATACTGCTCTTTCTCAATGCCTGTCTCCCTACTAAATCATTACTCCATTGTTCAAACATCCTATAAAAGTAAACAGCAAATAAAGCTACATGTATGATAAATGTACAATAGGATATTTTAACATGGATAATTTCCCATACAGTTAAAATGGTCTCTTAGGACAACCAATCTGTCTTAGTCAAATGGTCTTAATTTTTTGGATATTCTTGCATAAAAACTGTACATGTAGGACCACGGGAAAAGGACCACAAATTCTGCAGTGAATAAAAGATCATTTACTGTTTCTAAAAAAGTTTCTCCTACATTTAAATATCTTTTCATATCATATGAGTGTATGTCCTCAAAGAACATAATATCAATTTAACACAGCTACTGTTAAATTTGACCGATTTTTTTACTAACAGATTTTGATACATAAATGTAATTTAAATTTATTTTTTTAATGACCACATTATCCGCAGGATAACTGTCAAATTTATTGCACTAGCATGCAGAAAGCATGACAAAATTCTTTTTGCGAAAAAACAATTTTAGAACAAAATGCAGAATAACTAAAAGATTTATTTTTATGCAAAAATAGTGCTTAAATTCCCTTTTTCTCATGAATTGACATTCTGCAAAAGCCCTGACAGTCATTTTAATTTAAAAGCCTATAACACTGGCCCTGTTGGCTTAGGCTTTTATTGTGTCCTTCAGGGCTCTACTATTGACAGCCCCTGTAGTTGAACCTGTCAAAATATCCAGTGAAAAGCATGAGAAAACCAATTTCTTTATACAAAAAACGAATACATGCAAAACATGAATTTTGCTGCGGACAGATTCTAAGATTGCTATAATATATTTCTTTATCTCGATTAATTTTTAAAGTGGTGAATCCTCATTTGACTTGGGCAAATAATTTTCAGTTTTCTTTTATTGATATGTGGTTTCAAAATTTCGACTGCAAGACCGACTTTTTTTATAATCTGATATTAACAATAGATGTCTGGTTCTTTCGCGAAGGGGCGACCATGGTCAGCCGAAGTGGCTGCCTAAAAATTCTTAGCCGTTATTGTGAAGTCACATACGACAGCATTTTAGGGACAAACCCTGTATTTGGCTGCCATACCCGGCCTTTTAAAATTATAATTGGAAAAGTCGGAAAAATGATATGAATATGTTATTTTATGACTTTAAGCGAGGATTTTAACCAAGAAACAGCAATTGTCTTTGTATGTTTACTTTTTAGAGATTAATCGCCTTGTTGGCTACCGTTCTTTGTCATCTCAAGATGCCGAGAAAAAATAGCTATGGTTGCATTTAAATAATACCAATTGAAATAGTTTACAAAATTTTGATTATAATCCTTTTTTGTTTCATTAAAGTTAATTTTCGACACCTTTAAAATGAAAAAAAACAAAACAAAATAATTGTTGTTAAATTGGGCTCTGATAATTGCGTCAATTACCCCTGACGGCCATCATTAAGGAAAGTTTGCATGTTCCGTGAAATGCATTCTAAAATTTATTGTCAGTCCCTGGGTAGGCTTTAATTAAGGCTAATTAATTGATTGTGCTTTTATGTTCGATATTTATCTACTGTATTTGGAAATTATACAATTATTTTTGCTTTTCACCGTTTTTTTTTTGTTCTTCCGTGTTCTTTTTATTTATTTATTTATTCCACTCCTATCATTATATTTATTCGATCCATGTTTAACAAAATGATTTAATTATCGATCTTTCGTGCAAATAAAACAACAAACAATAAGCATGAAAATCAACGACGTTATAACTTATACTTAAATGCAACTTTGACACTTTTATCAAGATATATTATACAATATATTATTCCATGATAACCGCCGTATGAACACATCTGCGTATGTTTCTAAATTCAAAATTTCACCATTTTTGTGTTAAATGTTGAATTCTGCTTAAGCCCGTGCTAGGGGGCGTGGACGGTAACTTGCACTTTCCAGTACTGTCCATGAACAGGCTCAATCAAACCGAGCCTGCAACATTTTCAATTTTGTTGTGTTGGACTTTCTGTAGGGATTCTGTTTTTCTCTATTTTGTTGTTTTCATTTTTTTACAAAATGACAGAGCATCTTTATTAAAGTGAACACACGAGGAAAAATGCGGAGACTTGATTCAAATCCATGTTTAAAGACACAAAATAACAAATGCATTTTTGACTTCCACATGATTTTTTAAAGTGCCATACAGCTAGACAAGACAGTGCGTCCTGGCTAGTTGTATGTGACTCACATACAAATAGCCACTTCCAAAGTATAGTACTCCCCGCGGATACCGCGTCCTTGCTTATTCCGATGTAATCAGAAAATATGTTTCTTTACACATTGAATGCCACATAATACTGTTTCCATCATTTAAGTGAAATAGAAAGTGCTGCTTTTTGTGAATTTGGATAGAAATTGTAAGAAATGTTTTTCATTGTAAATAAATTCTGTCATTGATAGGAAAATCCAAAGCTGCCGTAAGTGTTGAAAACACTTCTTTATATTATCCCATATTTAAAGGTTAAACTGATAATTTCATGTTTCGACAAGTAAATGTTGTCTGCTGAAGCTGTATTGACATCATATTCTGTTACAAAAAGTTATACTGAAGCCAAAAAGGCCATCAATTAACATACCACGGTACCATAGTGCTCTCCGTTTAAGCTCCCATTCAAAACATGGCTGACTGACTGTAAGTGTTTCTAATTTAAATCATTGAGTTATTCCATGAATAACATGTTTATTTGAAAGTCAAGATGCGACAGCTAAACACAATTCAATAAAATAGTAAATACAAGTTATTTTTATTTGTACAATTAGCTGGAAATAATTAGAACAGTGATACCATAGGGGACTATCCTACAATTTGTTGGGTTAAAAAATGAACATTGTCATTTTAACTTCATACAAACCAGATAAATGCACATTTAATAAAATCTATAATTCATTTCAAATGTCTTGACGAAGGTATCACTTCATTATTTTGAGGTGGGAAAATCGTAACTAAATTGGGACGAATCCTTATAGAACGAATCATCACAGGAGTGAATCGTCAGTGGGGCGAATAGTAATAAATCTTCAATTAATAAACTACTTGTAAGTCTATGCGTTAAATGGATAACAAGTATTTTCAATTAATCATATATTATGAATAAGTTTAAACTGTACAGTGTCATGAAGGATTGATTTCGTTTCCTTACCTTTGCCAGTCTGCCATGTCAATGTTGTCAAGCGTTTGAAAGTCCGAGATCTACTCCTGAAGAGTGACCTCCCTTACAACATGTCTGCGCCCATGAATCTCGAAAAAGTTTTTGTCCGGGAAATTGAAAGGAACGACTCAAAAGTCCTGCAGATAAACCAGTGCGAGGTTGGAGATGTCGGTTGTGTTGTATGGGATGCGGCTATAGTTCTTGCTAAATATCTCGAGTCTGAAGACTTTCACAAGGGCACAGATCTGGTGGATAAAAATGTTGTGGAGATAGGAGCAGGCACAGGCGTGGTCGGACTTATGGCTGCCAGCTATGGGTAAATTAAAAACAAAGTGATATATATCTTCAATATCAAGAGCTTAGATCTTTAGAAAGATATTTAAAGGTGTATTTCAAGTCCATGAAAATGGGGTATGAATATCTACGGGGAACAACTCTGTCTGGTATAAAAATTGTTTCTTGACCCCCCCTCCCCCAAATCTTAAAGTCAACATTCTTGAAAAAAAATTAAAATTAAAATATTACCATTTACAGAGGTTGAAATGAATTTAGTTACATAATTTTTAAAGAAACATGCACTTTTATTGATAAAAAAAGTGACTGACAACCACTGAACAAAGAAGATACTAATTTAAGCATTTTCGGGGCCGTCCGGGTTTGGTGGTTGTCCGGTTTTGGTGGTCCCCAACCAGTAGTCTGAGTAGATACAAGTAAAACTTTTGCCATGAACTATTACTTTGATATTATTTTAATGTTAATACGTTCATTTACTTTTGTATTATAATTTTTATGCCTAATATTACTCTCAGTCTGTGTTGGTGAAGTTGTTGTGCGAATATTGGTATAAGGGAATGGGTTTAAAATTCACAAACTTATTTGAGAGGGTAATAGGCTGCTACCTAAGGATCATAACTCTAGTTGAACTCTATAATGAATTTTTGACAGAGTTATGGCCCTTTTTGAACTTAGAAATTTCTACATTATCCAGGCTTTTGCTTTACTTTGAAGCACTGAGAATAGTTAAGTGCACTGTCTTACTGATAAATTCTGTTTACAGTAAATTAATAGTTGTTTTCCTAAATAATTTTAGAGCAAAAGTGTCAATAACAGATCTAGACCAGTTTGTCCCCTTGATGCAGTTAAATATAGACACAAACAAACAGCTGTTCCAGCATCCAGTACAAGCTAAGGAACTTGTTTGGGGATCTGAAGTGAAGACAGAGTACCAGGATGTGGACATATTACTTTTAGCAGACTGTATATACTATGAGGAGGTAAACATTTAACCTGCTGAATTTGTGATTTAAATGATATATGTTGGTAAATTCCATTTAACTTTTTATGGTATTTTGAATGTCATAATTTAAAAGAATTGAGCTTCAAACAGTAAAGAGCCTGGTCAAATGTTTTGCTTAGATGTGCAGGCCTGCCTGGTTCTATCCTTATGGAAAATGCGTATCACTTCCGGTTCAGGTAAATGGTAAACATATTTGACCAAGCAAATCCATCAGGCATAAATAACATTTATTGACCAATTCATTTAATACATTGTTTGTTTGTTTTTGTTTCATTTTACGCCTTTTCCCAACAGTATTTCAGTCATATAGGCAGGTAGTTTCCTAACCATCATTCCTGGCATTTACTACATAATTGATATCGGTCATCATGTATAAGATTAAAGGCAGGATTTGAAATTTGCAAGGTATAATTAGAAATAGGATCTTGTACAATTTATGCAGAAAAATCACCAATGAATAATGATAAGGAATAATCTCAACGACAAATATGTCAGCATTGTGTTGTATCTTAGTTGCAGATATTTTTTGACACATGTGAAATAAAAAGTAATAAACTAATATTATTTACACTAAGCTCTGTGGGCATAGGTGTAACTTAGGATATTAAGACAATTAACCTTTTCCCTCACGTAAGCGTGTTTCAATGGCTTATTGCCCTATTTAGACCTCAAACACTGGTATTCGTTTGAGAAATGTTGTTTAAAAAAAAGACCACTTATTTGGCATGGTCCCCCATCCAAATGTTACATCAGGGGGTTGACAGAAGGGGGATGCCCTTCTGTTTGAGGGGTTTGAAGGGGATAGAGTCCCCCTCATTGGCAAGAAAATTTTGGACATTTGACAGGCTAAAAATGGCCTCAGGTCTATCTTAGGGTAACTAGTAACCTACGCTGAAAAGCCTTTTACTCTGTCTCAATTCATTGAGAAGTTGCAGCACTTTGAAATCAGTTTTGATGGAAAAAAACAAGTGATTTTTGGCAATTTTGATACTTTCCCCCGTTGTCATGGTAACAGAAAATTTACGATTGAGCATGCTGTCACAGAGGCTATAGTGTAGTCAACATTTGTGCCAAGTTTCATCAGTATTGATTTCTTAGCAGTTTGAACTTGTTACAGGAGGCTTTTCAATAAAAACGGCCATTTTTAGCAATATGCTCATGGGGTAAAAGGTTTAAAGAGCTATTACTGGTAAATTATCTTGACAGTTAATTAGGTCTACCTTTGTATTCTTCATAAATGCAAATAGAAGATATATTCTAGCTATGAATGATCTTTATATCTACAAACTTGATAATAACCCCTATCATGCTAAATATCTTAAATGGACTTGTCTGTCTTTCAAACTGGACTAAACCATTCATCATTTTGGGGATGAAAATTATAAGGGGAACAGTGCAAAATTTAAACATTTGTATTGGCAGAATCAGTTGCCTCCAGCAAGCGAAGGGTTAAACTATATTATAATATTATATTTTTCAGTCTCTAGAACCTCTAATTAAGACCATGGATGATCTGTGTGGCACTGATACATGTATATATTGCTGTTATGAGGAAAGGACAACCGATAACAAACCTGCATTACAGAGAAAATTTCTACATGTATGATTATTCTTATGTACCTTTGTTAAGAGTATTTAATGATTTTCTGTGTTGTCTGAAGTAAGTAAGTAATTCAAGGCTTTATTTATCAAGGCTTCATCTGTTTCCCAATCTTCTGTGTGGAAGGTTTGTAAGGTGTCTGCAGGTTTGTAAAGTGATTTTTAGTTTGACTTTTCACAGAATAATGGAGCTAATGTAGTCACCCATTCGTCGATGTCAGCATCCCTGTGGTTAAGTTTTTGTATGTAAGCTGGTATCTCCATAACTACTGAAGGGAATGGAATGAAACTTTACACACTTGTACTCTGTGATTATCTAAGATGATTGGCACAAGTCCCATAGCTCTGATTCGCTTTTTTACATATTTATGCCCCTTTGTTGACTTAGAAATTCTTGGTTAAGTTTTTGCATGTAAGCTGGTATTTCCATAACTACTGAAGGGAATGGATTGAAACTTCACACACTTGTTCTCTGTGATTGTCTAAGATGATTGGCATAAGTTCCTTAACTCTGATTTGCTTTTTTGCATAATTATGCCCCTTTTTCAACATAGAAATTCTAGGTAAATTTTTGCTTGTAAGCTGGTACCCCTAACTACGGGAAAGGGTTTGTACCTTTTTTCCAAATTTTTATGTTTTTTAACTAAATGAAACCCCTGTGAAACTTTTTAATAGTTGACTTTCTGTTTTCTTGTTTCAAATGTAAACCTCTTCATTCCCCCCACATGACCTGAAGAACACCATATATACTCAGTTTTTGATAGTATTACATGTTTGAAAATATTGTAACATAGAAGGGAGACATTGTTTTTCAAATATCAGTAGGTCAGTTTGTTAGTACATGAAGTTCATTTGGTTAACAACACTCTTATATAATTTAGACTCACACTGTCTCTACTTGTGCCCCCATTCCCCTCCAACAGAGTCATTATCTTCATTGATTGTGATATAATCATCTGATTTGACATAAAGATGGTGAAAACTCATGTCACTTCACACTTTCATAATAATTTACAGCATAATTACATGTATGTATTTCAATTATTTTTAACACCTTTTTGATGGGCAGTGGCGGTTTTCCTACTTGCCAAATTTTGCAGATGCTATAGCCTAAGTTGACATTTCTGTTCCCTATGCGACATGTATCTCTTTTTTGTATATTTATTACCAAAGACCTTATACATGTTATACTGAAAAATACTTCCACTTAATAAACAAGAGCGATCAGTAATCACATGTGTTGCCTCATGATGGCCAATTTCATGTTGGGACAAATTTTGTGACAGACGGACAGACAAAGTTACAGACAGTGCACAACTAGATTGGTACTGATAATTCCCGTAAAGTTTGGATAAAATTGCACCAGTAGTTTATGAGGAGTAGTTTGGACAAGCTTTTGTGTATCTGGCAACACACAGAAAAAAACACTTTTTTATCAAAGGGCCACAACTCAGCCAAAAATCATTCAACCAGAAAACCCGTGCAATATGTGCAAGGAATTGAGCTACAGATCAATCCTTTAAAATTTCATTGAAATTGCATTAGTGGTATAAGAGAAGTAGTCCGTACAAACATTAAAATAAAAATTATTAAAGGGCCATAACTCTGACATAAATCATTGAACCGGAAAATGCTGACAATATGCACAACTAGACTTGGTACTGATGATTCCTGTAAAGTTTGGATGAAATTGCACCAGTAGTTTATGAGGAAGTCTTGACAAGTTTTGTGACGGGCAGACGGACAGACAGACGAACAGGCAGACGACGGAGAAGTGATCCCTATATGTCGCCACTACTCTGTAGAGGCGACACAAAAATTGTTGTTTTTTTAGTGACAAGAATAAAATGATATAGAATAAAATTGTCATCAACAAATATCCCATATTCAGTATTGCTTTCATTCATTAGGCCATAGGTCAAAGATTAAGGTTAAAATATCACTATGAATACCTATGGAATATGGTTGTATTTAAGATCCTTTTTGTTTCAGATGGTTGGGAAGTTGTTCCAAATAGAAAAGATACCATTGCACAGACAAGATAGTCAGTTTTGTAGTGAAGATATTCATATACTCAAATTGACAAGAATAAAAGTTTCCTGATGTCATTTAATGTGTTCCAATTGTTTTTTTCTTTTTCTTATACTGTGTTTAACTACTTTCAAGTAAAACTGCATGAATTGTGTTTTAATTGAAATATAAATGTATTAAATCAATAAAAGGCATCCTTTAATGTACATGTATTTTGTCAAATGTACAATACACCATGTATAATAAAAAAGGACATAAATATAAACCTACATCTAAAAGCTGCTGGTTTCTTTTTGCCGTGCCGGTTTTTGGCAAATTAAACCCCTTATTTACACGCTTTAAAAAATGAAGACTATCTTTAATTGTCATATTTACTTAAAGGTTTAAAAGTTAATATGTTTTGTTTTGGTAAAAATGCATTAAAAGTTTGCATTTGCCATGGCAAATAGCACCAAGAACACAATAGCACCAAGAACATATCATAGGATAAGTTCTAGAATGTTTTGTGATGTTTTAAAAAAAGATAATTGCCATGGCAAATGTAGGAAAAATCTTGCCATGGCAATTCTAATTTGCCATTGCAAAGTATTTGCCATGGCATAATGACAAAATGCCATGGCAAAATGACAAAATGCCATGGCAATTATTTTTTTAAAAAATCACAAAACATTCTAGAACTTATCCTATGACATGTTCTTGGTGCTATTGTTATGTTTTTATTGCATTTTTTTTCATTTTGCCATGGCAATAGCACCGAGAACATGTCTTGGATAAGTTTTAGAATGTTTTGTGATGTTTTAAAAAAATAATTGCAATGGCAAATGTTTGGCCAAATGACAAAATGCTATGGCAAAACTTATCTTATGACATGTTCTTAGTGCTATTGTTTTGTTTTTATTGCAATTTCTATTTTTTTTTCATTTTGCCATGGCAATAGCACCAAGAACATGTCATAGGATACGTTCTAGAAAATTTTGTGATGTTTTGAAAAAATAATTGCCATGGCAATGGCAAATTTACGAAAAATCTTGCCCTGGCAATTCTAATTTGCCATGGCAAATTGCAGAATTTCCGTGGCAAAATGCAGAAATGCAATGGCAAATACAAACTTTAAATGTATTTTTACAAAAAAGTATTTAAGATAGAAAAACAAAACATATAAACTTTTAAACCTTTTAGTTGAAATTTACAATTTAAGATAGTTTTCATTTTTTTAAAGTGCGTGAAAATAGGGGTTGAATTTGCCAAAAACCGGGGCAGCAATTATAAACAGGCAGCAATTATGTATAAGACAAAAATGGCAAAAAATGAAAAAAAGTCCTTGATATTTGGAGCCAGGACCCTGCTGAATTTCCTGTCATAAAACTCCTTTAGCCACAAACACTGCTGCCTTGATGCACTTTGCTTTTTCAATAATTCCGTGAGAATGTGTTTTTCTGTGAATGCAAATTAATATAAGGGGAAAGCTAAAATATAACAACCAACATAACTCTGAATTTCATGCTTATCTCTCACATCTTTTTTTTAGTTATCTCTCTCATATCTTTATTTGGTTATCCCTCTCATATTAATGAAGCATTGTATCTAGCTTTAAATCATTGTATCTTGATTTTAATCATACGCTCAACTGTATATCTGACAGATTGATCTACATGCCCACTAAAATTGAATTGTATTGTGTTGTCGTTTCTAAAAAGTAGTGTCTAGTTAAAAATTAACCTCTGCACTCTTTTATCTTATATTTAAACCAAAGTATGCCACTGTAAACGCATGTAAAACGTTTAACACCAGCGCATTAAGCATGACGATAGTCTTTAATGCAATAGACAACGGAACATGTTGAAGGATGGTTAAATTTGAAATATTTCATATACTCGTACATTGTAATTAGTTAAAAAGAGAAAATAACAATTTCTAAAGAGAACGGAAGTCCATAATACTTTACATAACTAAACATAATCTGAATAAAGATATTCAAGTATGTTACATATGCTGGCATTTGATGAGATTTGGATTTCTCTTTCTCCTATAAGAACGTTGATAATACTTTATGAAGTATCTACCTAGCGAGATAAATGAGAAAAATTCTGAGTCTGAAAATGACACATTTATTCATATGACACGTGCAAAAAAGTATCATCTATCCTTGAAAATAAGATGGGGTTAAACATTCTGTTTGCATGACTATAAGACTTAAACATTAGAAAGGTACAATACATTTCATTAGATTGAAAATCTGATGTTAAAATAGCGAGTGAAAATAAACAACAATATTACACGGTCTTAAACCGTCGGTTTGTGACAATGACATTGGGATACGGACACAAGCCCCTCCAGGAAGAAAGCCCCCCCCCCCCCCACAACGGACACAAGCCCTTCGCAGATGAAAGCCCCCCCCTCATCTAAAAATGACAAAACCCCCCACTCCCGTGAAATTTACACATAGGACAAAAGCCCCCCCCCCCATTAAAAATACAGGTAGGACAAAAGCCCCCCTCCCCAGTCATGAAACATTGCTATTGAGAATCTTGTCAACTTAATGTATTGAGACAAGTCAAATGCAATTGTTTTAAAAGATAATTTACATTAAGATTTAAATTTAAAGGTACTAAAGTTCTAATTTGATTTATTGTGTTATTCTTATATAATTCATTGATGATATGAATGTTTTTATGTTTATTATACATGTAAATTGTACAGTACAAATGTAAATGAATATTTTCAGAGAATCATTTATCAACTCTTATCAAGGAAATAAAATGTGGGAAGGCGCATACTTGTCTAGATTTATTTGAAATATAACCAAAGTTCCTAACACTGGGCGTGTGAAAAAAGATAATTATCAGTCTGGTCTATAAATCTTAGGGAGGCTTTTGTTTGCTGGACGGGGGGGGGGGAGGGGGCTTTTTTGTCCTACCGTAAAATTTAATGGAGGGCTTTTGTCCACCCTTGTTATTTTTTTAGAGGGGGGGGGGGGAGGGGGTTGTCCTACACTTAATAACATTCCACCTATGCGAATTGATATAAGCTTGTCCACCTCTCCTCAAGTAAAATCTATCACCTATGAAGTTTCAAGTTGATACCTCAAAATACTTTTTGAGATAAGCTGCGGACAAAAAAAGCTTATGAAAAAGAACAAAGGGCAAGAACTCAAAAATTATATAGGGAAAAGCTCTATCATTTCTTCACACAGCATTCGTCCTCAATAAGATCTATCCACCTATGACATTTCAGGTTGACATCTCAAACAACTTTTGAATTATTGCTACACTCAGGTGAAAAATTAAAGTATGAAAAATAACAAAGAGGCAATAATTAAAAAATTACTGAAAGGGTAGAGTTATCATTTCTTATGCACTGCACACCTCCTGAGTGAGATCTATGCACCTATGAAGTTTCATGTTGATATCAAATACTTTTTGAGTTATGCTCTGGACAAAAATTAATTTTGAAAGAATACAAAGGGCAATAACTCAAAAATTATGCATGGTAGAGTTATCAGTCTTGTGCACTGCACTCCTCCTCAATGAGATCCACCCACCTATGCAGTTTCAAGTTGATATCTCAAATACTTTTGGAGAGAAGCTCCGGACAAAATAGTATGAAGAAGAACAAAGGGCAATAACTCAAAAATTGTATATGGAAGAGTTATCATTCTTGTGCACAGCATTCCTCCTCAATATGATCTTTCCACCTATGACATTTCATGTTGACATCTCAAACACTTTTTGAGTTATGCTCCACTCAGGTGAAAAATTAAGAATGAAAAATAACAAAGGGCAATAAATCAAAAATTATGAGAGGTAGAGTTATCATTCTTGTGCACTGCACACCTCCTGAGTGAGATCTATGCACCTTTTTTATTCGTTTTTTCTACTCTTTAGCTCATTTAATCGTTAATACATGAAATATTATCGTTATCTATATTGAATTAACCTGTATATGTTGACCCGATATGTTCGCTCTGGTCCGTGTTTGCAAATGACCTAATTCACGAAATTAATAGTCTTTGGCTTGGAATTAACGTTGGTTCTATGATGGTATCTACATTATTATACGCGGATGACATAGCGCTGATCTCAGACTCAGAAATAGATTTACAGCAGATGATTGATGTTGTACATAAATCGTGCAAACGGTGGCGCGTCTTAGTAAATACTAATAAGTCTTAATGTGTCCATTTTCGTAGAGGACCTAGACAGCGCTTTGAATTTATTTTCAGAGTTAGTGAAAATGTTCTAGAGACTGTTGATCATTATAAATATTTGGGCATAGTTTTTGATGAGAAAATAAACTTTAATCTTAATAGTGAATCCCTATCTAAAGGTGCTGGAGAGCTTTAGTAGCATAAATCTGGTTAAATCACATCCTAAATTAACACATTTGGGAAAAACTGGTAGGCAGTTGTTGTGAGTCCGATATTTGGAGTTAATGGGGCCTCCTCGTGGGGCTTCAGATCGTACCGATTAGTTGACAATGTCGTCATCACCGTGCGGCTAAGATACTTTTTTGATGTAACATAGGAAGTTTGCAACCACTCGTAGCCCATGTCATGGAGATTCAGGCATGGCTACCAAGCTGTTTTCAGACAGAAACTGCCTTATACGATTTTGTAACAGGTTGAACATTATCAATTCCGGATGAAATACTGACCAAAAAAGTGTTCTAGTTTTTATATATATGATTTTGAGAATTTGGCCCCCTATAATATGCTAGAGGCATTTTGTAGTACAAGTGGTATCTTGGTGTATTTTACTTATTTAAGGTATGCTGGATCCGATAAAGGTGGATACCAAATTGAAAAACTTGATCTTGACCATTGAAATGGCCATTTAAATTGACCACGAAAATGGCCTTCAAAGTTCTTTCTTATAAACATATTTAGGGTTTATCTGACACTCAGATGCCTACTTACGCACAGCGATATATGTGTGAGGAGGTTAAAACGTGTGCATGCAAATTTTAGGCCCCTTTTTTGAGTACTCTTCGGTTATGGTGTTCGTCGTCTTCGTTCTTCTGTTATCGGTTCTTGTCGCAGTTTCTCTGCTGTCAGATCTTCTGTTATTGGTCGTGACTT